TGAACCACCAACTCAATTAAAATTACTACTTACCCACTACCAAAGTTGTGACTACTGTTGGCAATCCACTACTATTGTAATCACTAACCTATCTATTGTTAGTGCCACAAGTATATATTGATGAAGTCACAAATCTATATGGAATCCATTTATTCCACCAACAGCTTAATTCATCAATAATCAATGGACTAATAGTTAAGGTTAGCATAATAAATAAAAAAACTCATTAGTGAAATGAGTTGTCTGTGAAATAAATTGTCAGTAAAATTAACTTGTCAGTGAATTAGCTGTTAGTGAAGTAATTAGTGAAATAATATGGATCCATCTACATTACTTATTGCAGTTTGCAAAATTGAAAAGCATGTCAACGAAGTGATAGGATAATCATTATTATAAAATCAGATGACTCTATTTGTTATTTTAACTTTATGAGTTTTTGTATATAGCCCATATTTGTATCTTGTTAGATGCAGGTATTTTTCTGATTAATATTGTAATTGCATATGATTGTAGTTTTTTGATAGGCAAAATTGTTTTTCTGAGAATATTTAAGTTCTTAGTAGATATCTTTCTTTTCACTATTGCTCACTTTGTAATGAAGGTTGGCTCTATTGTTCTACCCATCCACCCTTCTCTTGGTGACTCATTGACTAAGAATGCTGCAAGAGCCTTATGTTTGGTGATTATACATTATGGCTCTAATATTAATGCAAGATTCTTATGTTTGTGATTAGGTTCTGTGAATACAGAGAATTAAATGTTGGCAATTAAGCTTTATGGCTACATTAGTAGTATAAGAACCTCATTTGGTAATTGGGCATTGTAGCTGTGATAGCAGTGCAAAATCTTGTTAACAATCTTTAATTTTGGCTGTTTGTTTTTACCATATGTAGTTATGCAGTGTAATGCTTCTACTGTTTGTATTTCTGCTATATGACAAGTATTAACTGCGTATGTTTAGCAATATGTATATTTTTGTTGATTTGTATTATTGTTATACATAAGATTATTAAAACAATTTCTTTGTAATATCTAGAAAAAGAAAGTTGCTTCTGGCATTTTTATAATGCATAAGCTATAGCATATAACTTCTAGTATATAACTTATAGCTTCTAGCTTCCAACTTCTGAATTATGATTGAATTTATGCTTATAACTATATTTTCATAAAAAAATACAATGCCAATCATTATTTATATGTTATTGTTAATATGGATTTCACATTTATCAAATATTTTTCTTTTTCAGATTTTTTGCCAGTCTGATATAATCATGATAACAATAATAAATTTTGAAGATCTTTGAGCAAAATATATTTTGTCTTTGGCAAATAAACAAATGAAAGGGCATCTTTTTTCAGTAATTATTACTAATTATGTGCCTGATGTATCTAACTTATGAGCTAGCAAACCATTATTATTAGATTACTTCATACATCTGACAATCAGATCTATTTAGTATATACAAGCTAGTATCATAGTCAATTATGATATTACAGTGTTTTGTTTGTTTCCACTTAGACAGAACACTTACTTAGCACTGGTGTATTATACTAAGCATTGCTACCTCTTCAATTTGATACTTTGAAACAACGATCATACAGTATATTAAGTAAACCATTTTTCACTAAGCTTAAACTTAAATTACCTTCTTTTATTATTAAATTGTTCTATCTTTAAATAAAGATTATCTATGGATATATTATTACCTGAGTTACAAATATTATACTATCACTAAATTAGACTTTTAATTACTTTTATACAAATCCAAATCACCATATTTATGCAAATCCAAATTACACCTGACATCAAGAAATTACAAGGTACCAAATTAATCTATGATATGAGCTAGATCTTTAGAACTTTATCTCCAAAGTTTTCATCTATATAAAAAACAACTTTTCAACACAAATTATCCACTTGCAATACCCAATATTACTAACAACCTAATACTAACAATGCAACACACTGTTCAATTAGTATATATACTAATACTAAAAATTTTTTCAATTACTTTATAGCATTACTATACTTGCAAATCCAAATGTTTAAGCTTGTGCATTTTGATTCTATTTCTAAACAGTGCATATTTTAGTCTATTATATTCAATCAAAGTGATCCAAGTAAAGTGGTTATAGAATTCTCTTTTTTTCATTTGGTTTAACATATTAAATACTAGTATCAGATTTCTATTACCAAGTCTTTGCACTTTAGGCATGTTATTTCTATTCTATCTGCATTTGATGTCACAATAGAATCTAGATAATTGTCTATAATTCAACACCTTCTTCACTTTCATACCTTCAATCAGGTCTTTGTTTATGTCACAAACTTAAAGTTTCTTTACTTTAGGATTACTACTCGGTTTATTTTTAGTAGTTTTATCATTGGCTCATTTATTATCAGCTTCAATTTAACCATCATATCCAAAACTGCATTGTCTATCCTGATCTTCTCAACTGATATTCATATCTCAAAACTATTAGAACATATCTGTCTCACAACCAAAAGTAGTTAACTTTTGATTTGCAGATTTATCAATATTAACTCTAACAGTTTCATTTTCATAACAATACTCAGATTTGCATATTCCATCTGTATTTTGCTTATCAACAGATTTCTCATAATTAACAAAAGCTTTTCTCATCTATTTTAGAATTATTTCTATTCATGTTACAGCATCCAACTTCATGTGTTCTGCATGAATTACTACCTTCAGTTGATTTTAAATATTGTTTGAATATCTAATTTTCATTTTTTACAATGTCAATACAATTTTAATAATAATATCAAGATTATAGGCCTTACTAACACAATCTATCTTATCAGATCTTTGATTATAATTGAATGTCTTTTGTTCATTCATTTTACCTTCAATTCTATTACAATCATTATTAATATCAAGTATTTTCAGCAAACCTTCTATCATTATATCCATTATTAAGATCATATTCAATATATCTACTATTACCTTTGTTCTATTTCTACCAGCTTTATCATTATGTTCACTAACAGCTTTCATTTTTTGAATCTCTTTGTCATTTAGTTCAGATAAGTATTCAGATTCATCATTTATTTTATGCATTTTCTCATTTTTCTCTGACCAACTATCACATTCTTTTCTTTATATTTGTTAATATTCAATACAGTAATATTATCCTTATTAGCAGCCTTCTGATAAAATCAAATATTTTACTTTTACAATCACTGATGGTACATATTAGCAACTTTTTGATAGTGAACAAATGCCTTATATTCATCTTTATCAATCTCAATTCCATATTAATAATATAATTCAAAGTTGTTATATGCTTTTAGATCACTTTTAGCAGATTTTGATAATGGCTAAATGCTTTAGATTTGTTTTTCTTATCTCTAAATCCATTTTAATTATTATAACTACATTGCATATTCTATTACTATATCTTATATTTGCAGATCTTTAATAATAAATGCATTCTTTAAGATTATTCTTTTCAATTTAACTACTTTTACAACAATAGTTATTATAATTATTTGATTCCCTTTTATTTCTCAGATAGGCTAATTTATTATTATATCTAGACATTTATGTTTTCATAAGCCTTTAATATTGTTCACCATTTCATCTACTAACTTTATATAGGCTAGGTGCTGAGAAAAGGGACCAAATTGACAAAAAAAAAGATCTTCAGAAATTTAATTTTTATATTATAAATTTCATAATAAGTTATAAGAAAATATAAACTTTAAAGAGCTATACTGTAAAATTTTATTAATATAACTACTTATATGCCTTAAGTGAAAAGTGTTTCTAATCTTATTCTAAATTAATTTATATAAAAAATTACTTTTAAAAAAAAATGTTAATTTGGTTCCTTTTTCTAGCATCTAGCCCATATACTATACATCAACCAACAACTATAACTATTTTCCTTTATATTACTGCTTTCTATTCCTTGACTTTTTAATTTAAACAAACTTGAGCAAGGTGCTCTGGTTTTCAATTATTATAGCACAACTGTAGTCTGTAATACCAGTGTTTTTTTACTCTATTTTTAAGTTCTTTACTATTGCAGCAATCATTTAACTACCTTGCCAATCAATAAAACCAAACAGTCAACACCTTCTATACTTCAGTTAACATTCTCTTAATCTATTGTCCTTGTTTAATACACTTTTTATTAACAATGTTCTTTTGATTTTTCCTTCATAACATTTAATCACAAACTTTCAATATAATGATCTTCACTGGAACAACTTAATTTTACTAATTACAGCTTCCTCAACAAACACAGGCTTTTTTAGACCCTTAAACAGCAAGACTTGAATAAATTTAGTGACTAA